CATAAACATCTTGAAAAAATGTGGTAGAACAAAAATATCTTCTTCTTTTTCTTCTTCTTCCTTCTTGTATATATGATTTTGTCATCTCAAGGGTTGTACTTTATCCCCCGTGTTTTAGAAGCATGTTGGTTATTCCGTTTGGTCTTGGTGACTTTCTAGTTTTGAGTGAATTTATCGCTATCTCTACTTGCTGAAAACTAATTCAGGTACGTTATTGTTTTAATTATTATTTTCCTTTACTTTAAATAGTTCCATCACGTATCTTTCTCATTCGTTTGCTGGTATGTTATTGTATGCCTTCAATTCTTTTATATTTTTCCATTGATTTTTTATGAATCTTCATAGTTGTTTAGACAAAAATGTCTATCTTACATAAAATGATTCAGAAACAGACATCAGGGTAAGAAGACTAAGGGTCGTCTAATAAAGATGAAAATGAAGAAAGCAAAAAGAAGTTGTAAAAAGAAATGTTTTTCAATCAACACGTAAACTTCAAGACATTGAAGATTTTTGTGACTCAGATAAATCGGAAGAATCTTTCTCTTGCGCTGATACTGAATCAAGTACGGGATCGTTTATAAGTAATGACGAAGAGATGTCCCAAATGGATTACGACGATAATATGAAAATAAACGTTGGCGATTATGTTCTCTTTAAAGAAGGTATCTTAAAAGGCATGTAACTAATGTCTATATAGGACATATTATTGGCAAAACTGAAACTACAGAGAAAGTTACTTATATCCGTCGTTTATTTTCCAGGTTCATATTGATTTCCTCTAATGAAAACTACATATTAGAGGTCTCCCAAGTTGGTTTACAATTACCAACCCCCAAATCTTCAGGCCAGACAGCACGTAGAAGTGAAGTGTTGTAACAACAAGATTAAAATTTGATATATTTAGTAAATCAATTTAAAAAAATGGGGGTTAATAGAGATAAATGCTAGATTTGAAAATTTAAATACTAGAAATGAAGAAGAAGATAATGAAGAAGAAGAAGGAGAAAAGTTTTATCCTGAAATATATGAAGACAGATTTTAAAATATTACTTTGACAAAGCAATCATATGCAGTGAATTAAAAATGCGGTGTAATATGTCCTGATACAGCAAACAAAACACCGTTGACAAATGCAATATAAAATATCACTCTAAGATTGACTTTAAGTGGATTCAAATCTATTAAGTAGTCCACAAATAATATCGAGAGTGCCTCTATCTCTATGAAAGTTAAGAAGATATCTACTACGTTTAAATGTAGGTAACTGCCTTGTTTCCACCAACACAGATCACTCAATATACTTTTCAGCTTATTTGATGCGCATTTATTTATACACAAAACAAAAACAATCTACTGTTTTTGATGGGTTGGAGTCAATAAGAGGGGCTATTTGTTGACTATTTTTTACTCGAGCTTTCAATTGTGATTACAATTTTTATCAAGAGCTTCTAAAAAATACAAAATATCTTACAAAGTTGAACTAGCAATAAAAAATTTTTTGTTAACTCACCAAATAAAATTAGTTTTTTATATAAAACTACTGCTTACATATTAAATACAAAAAATATTAATAAAAAAATGTCTTATTCTAATAAATGTTTCTCTGAAAAATTTTGATGAAGTTTCTTAAGAAAAAAATTGAATTTGTAAACAAAAATAGAATAGCTACAAACCAGCCTAAATGTCATAAATACTAACTTAAAAATTTTTATTTTTGACATATTGTCAAAAATAAAATTTTGTTTAAAAAATTCTTCTTTGTTTAGTAACAAAAAAGAAGAAGATTTATTTACCATTGATAGATGCACGAAAAAATGTAACAAATACATGGAAAATTCAAAATGTGATATTTTACTGACTGCATATATAAATTAAATAGAAATTATATAATTATAAATTTTGCTTAAATTTTGAATTTCTGACCTTTTGTTTAAATTATTATCACTTTTGCTAATACAAACCATTTCCAAAAAAGTTCTTTTAAATTTATTACTTTCATTACATAAAATTTTAATATTATCAAAATCCATAATATGGTCTTTGTCTATTACATGCTCTTCCAAAGCTCAAGATGGTTTCTTAATTCTACAATCACTCTTGTGAGAAATAATGCGATTTGAGAGATTTCTTCCAGTCTCACCAATATACTCAGCTTCACACTGAGTACAAACAATGCTGTATACTACATTTGTTTGATCTAATTTGTCTATAGGATATTTAGTTTTGGAATATAAAGATGAAATAGTTTTGATGTTCTTTGTTGCTATTTTTATATTGTCAATAACCTTTAATGTTTGTATTAATTTAGGAGTTAATGATGGTATAAAAGGTAGTGAATGATAATATATGTCTTGATTGTTGGATACAGTGTTTTGAGATTTAGCAAAAAATGGTGTTAAGTTATTTATATTTAATAAATTAGAAAAAAGCATCCTATGTAGCATATCTGGAGGATAAGAGTTTTCAATTAAAATATTTTTTAACAAATGATAATAAATAGATAGTCTGGATGAGAAAGTTCTAAAACACGTTCCTTTAATCCTGTTATAAGGTTGAATCATTTGTTAAAAAATATTTTAATTTGAAAACTCTTATCCTCCAGATATGCTACATAGGATGCTTTTTTCTAATTTATTAAATATAAATAACTTAACACCATTTTTTGCTAAATCTCAAAACACTGTATCCAACAATCAAAACATATATTATCATTCACTACCTTTTATACCATCATTAACTCCTAAATTAATACAAACATTAAAGGTTATTGACAATATAAAAATAGCAACAAAGAACATCAAAACTATTTCATCTTTATATTCCAAAACTAAATATCCTATAGACAAATTAGATCAAACAAATGTAGTATACAGCATTGTTTGTACTCAGTGTGAAGCTGAGTATATTGGTGAGACTGAAAGAAATATCTCAAATCGCATTATTTCTCACAAGAGTGATTGTAGAATTAGGAAACTATCTTGTGCTTTGGCAGAGCATGTAATAGACAAAGACCATATTATGGATTTTGATAATATAAAAATTTTATGTAATGAAAGTAATAAATTTAAAAGAACTTTTTTGGAAACGGTTTGTATTAGCAAAAGTGATAATAATTTAAACAAAAGGTCAGAAATTAAAAATTTAAGCAAAATTTATAATTATATAATTTCTATTTAATTTATATACGCAGTCAGTAAAATATCACATTTTGAATTTTCCATGTATTTGTTACATTTTTTCGTGCATCTATTAATGGTGAATAAATCTTCTTCTTTTTTGTTACTAAACAAAGAAAAATTTTTTAAACAAAATTTTATTTTTGACAATATGTCAAAAATAAAAATTTTTAAGTTAGTATTTATGACATTTAGGCTGGTTTGTAGCTATTCTATTTTTGTTTACAAATTCAATTTTTTTCTTAAGAAACTTCATCAAAATTTTTCAGAGAAACATTTATTAAAATAAGACATTTTTTTATTAATATTTTTTGTATTTAATATGTAAGCAGTAGTTTTATATAAAAAACTAATTTTATTTGGTGAGTTAACAAAAAATTTTTTATTTCTAGTTCAACTTTGTAAGATATTTTGTATTTTTTAGAAGCTCTTGATAAAAATTGTAATCACAATTGAAAGCTCGAGTAAAAAATAGTCAACAAATAGCCCCTTTTATTGACTCCAGCCCATCAAAAACAGTTTTATATATATATATATATATATATATATATATATATATATATATATATATATATATATATATATATATATATATATATACATATATAGAGAGAGAGAGAGAGAGAGAGAAAGAGGGAGCTTATTTGATGCGCATTTATTTATACACAAAACAAAAACAATCTACTGTTTATATATATATATATATATATATATATATATATATATATATATATATATATATATATATATAGAGAGAGAGAGAGAGAGAGAGAGAGAGAGATTGAAAGAAAGAATAATGCAATTTGGTTTTAATAGTAAGCAATTCAGTTTCTATTAATGAAGAATAGATAGAGATACAATAACAATTGGTGGTAAAGTTATTGTCGGGTGCTAAAATGAAAACTCATTTTATCATAATTTCAATAAAAAACTAGAAAAACTAGATATTTAGGATAGTAAGATACAAAATGTTCATACCACGAACAAATTAAAAATATGGCAGTTTTTCAAAAGGTAGAAACAGCTCTAATAGGAAAACTAAATGCAAAAAAAAATTTGGTAATTTTATATCGGGATGGTATTTCGGCAGAAGTTTTAGGAAAAAAGTTATTGAAATAAAAGACAATAACTTAAAAAGTATCAGAAAAAAAATATAGTAGAAAAATTTACAGATAAAACCATTAACTCACAGATACACACAGATAAAACACATTCTGACGGGTATTCTCAAGTTAAAGTTGATTTCATGTAATCGAATGAACTAGGTTCCAATAAAATCTTCCCAGCAACTTTAAAATGTATGAATTCTTAATATGAATGAAACAGATAAAATTAAATTATTACAAGATTTTTTGTACTATCAAGTAACAAAACAAAAGAATGCAGCAATTCAGAAGTAAGTATACAATACAGCTGAAGAATGTAAGAATGTAAGATTTAATTAGATCTGTAGTTAAACCAACAAACCTTGGATTGGAAGCATCTGTGTAGATATTTCATCAAAACATTTCTTAGTGATTATTTATTTAGTTTATCTTAGTATCTTTATCTTTAGTAAAGGTTTGTCTTAGAATTTAGGAATTTGTACAATTAATACAATCATTTTTAATAAACAGAGAGGTTTATGTAAAAATAATATCGAAGTTGTGGTTAAAAGATCAATATTATTTAGATGTGGTGACAAATGCTGTTGCAGAGATTGAAATTTAACAAGAGAATGCGAGTTTAACGAATTATTACTTAATAAATTATGGGATTTTTTCTATGAATAAGAATGTTTCATTTCTGATTTTATACAGATAAAACACCATATATCAAAGACAACTAAGTACTTACCCAAGAAAATCCAACACAGTTTATAGTATCAGATAACATGTCACCCAATATCGAGGCATACCCGTTTCCATTGGGAAAATACGCATGGAATCTGCGATGGATCCAATGGGTAACACCCGGCATAATTTTGTCCTCGAAATCCTCCATAATCTTATCAAAGTCTTCCGGTTCTTGTGGGGCTTCAGTGGGCAGCAACTTTCTGAGATATCCCGGTTCTATGTGTGGAAAGACTCTGTAGCTTTCCACATTTTTCGTGTAGTAGCAAATATAGTCTATCATTTCCTTGCCGCGAATTCTGAATTCCTCTACGTCCATTTTGAGGTGAAATAACTGGTACTTGATCGTGGACTAGGTTAATGGAAGTACTTTACGATCTGGAGGTAAATTTCCAGTGTTATGGTACTGTAATGTTTTTACCCAACGATAACTTATATATTACGAATAAATTTAACAGTTGGAGGGGATGTAGTAATCGAATTATTCAATTACACAGGTTGATAACTGTTTTAATTAGTTTACATATGAAATATGATGTGTTCCTAATTTCTTTAGACACGCCATTGATTTTGAAAATGCAATCGTACATTTAGTTACGATTATTTTTTAAGAGATAGAAACAGCGAAAAAAAAATGTTATTCGATACTATATATTTATTATACTTTCTTCTTATTGAGGTCTTCTTCACAAAGGCTTGTCTAAAATTTCGACAAATTGTTCCAGATTTTAAAAGATCCTTAAACGTAATTGTGAATTTAAACTGATCCAGCCTCTCACATTTTGTATTCATAAACTTTGTTTTCTGCCCAGACTCGTTTTTCTTTCGGTTCTATTCTCCATTATTGATGTTGACAAATACACTTTTGAAAATACTAGAGAACAAAGATCTATGATAGGCTACATTATGTCGAATAGAGTTACAGCCTTCTCAAATCTTGGATGTAAGAGCACTAACATCAGCAGAAGTAGTAGGGTTAAATTCGTGCTTCAATATCTATGCTATTACATGTGAAAGGTAAGGTCCAAAGAATACCGGAATAATAAAAAACACATATGATATAATACTATATATTGAAATAAAAATAATGAAATAATATTCACACTCAAATGTTTTCGATAAACAAAATCTCATATAATGATTCTTAAAATTTTGTTCTACGTACGTGAACCTTCAAAATTAATGGTACAAACAATATTAGTTGAAATCTCAAAATCCAAATATTATTCTAAATCTCCTAATCAAAATATTTATATCCTTTCTAAATTAAGTGTAAAAATTATGTTATCAATGAAAGAAAAACTGCAGAAAACAAAACTATCTCTCTCTGATGATGAGTGGTCCAAATCCTTGTTATTTGTAGACTATACTATTTACTCGTGGCCGCTGCCTAGGTAATCAGCAATCTTACAACAAATTATTGCAAGTATATCGTCCTTAATGATCTCCTTCAAATGCACAAATCGTTTAAATTATGCTAGCTTCTTCTTCTCTCAATAAACTGAATCTCTCGTTGGCCTGAGTGAAAAATGACTCTTGGAATATCTTTTCTTTACGATAAACTGAATCTCTCGTTGGCCTGAGTGAAAAATGACTCTTGGAATATCTTTTCTTTACGATAAACTGAATCTCTCGTTGGCCTGAACAGTGACTCTTGGAATATAAGTAGAAAAATATGACTTACAATATTTTACTGGATCAGCTTCTGTCAGATACACTAACTACACGAAAACTCACAAACTTTCACTGCTACTGCTTCCTACCTCTGGGAAACTACCCGAGAACAACGGCCGTTCGCCTTGCACCCTTGGAAACCAACTGATTATCTTTTCTCTCTCACCAATCTAGCTAAACTTTCATTCCTACATACCTATCCCATCTTTTTCAATCTCCGCCAATCAAAGCTCGTCACAATTGTCCCATTTTTTCATTTCGATAACAAACAAATTTTTACCTATAATTATAAAATTTCCTAAAACTTATTTACAAATAACATTTTTCTACGATTCTTAAAAACTAACAAAAACCTATCTTTATAAAATCTATTCTATTGTCCTTAATCAACTGCATTAATGTATTTGGAAAACCCGGTTCAATTGTCTTTGGATTTCACTTAAAATTATGCGGGTCACTCAAGTATATTAGAACAAAGAAAATAATTTATGCATAGCTTACATTTTGTTTAATACAGGTAATCCAAAAATTTAAAGACTTTCCTTCTTCGAAATGTTTGTTGGTTATTATCCTACTTATCTGAATTATTTTAATGTTTTTGAATTTTGAAATATTTTAAACAAACCAATATTTTTCTCGATTTTACATATCATAACAATATATTGATTATATCATATATATATATATATATATATATATATATATATATATATATATATATATATATATATATATATATATATATATATATATATATATATATATATGAAAACAAAACACCAGAGTACACCACAAAGATAAAATTTGTTAAAGCTTACAGGTTGATTCCACAAGATACCTATTCCAAAAAAGAATAACCGAAAAAAGCAGAAGCACATATATCACAGAAAGTGATTGAGTCGAAAAAAACTGAACAAAAATTAAGTCTAATATCTTAGCCTCGGCCAATAAAGTTCTTTGCGAAAGAAATATAAATAAAAATAAATCATTCCCAAGGTGAAGATCTCCAGAGTTTTGTACAGAAGTGAAGGAAAAATGTAAATAAAAGAAAAACGCTTACCTTAAATACATGTCAACCAAAATACAAGAGGCATACCATAATTATAAGACAATTAGAAACAAAACACATGCACTTGTAAGAAAAATAAAAAATTATCACTGAAAACGGTTTTCAAAAGAAATGGAACATGATTTTACCAAAATATGGAAATATGGCGCTTCCAAAGAGATGAAAGAACGGAGGTTTTTTTTATTATATATATTAAACACCTACTGTGTTTATACCATTGGAATCTGGTCAAAGCTGACCAATTATCAACTTTTATCTGTCTTAGTGAGAGCGCCCACCAAACTGACGTGGCACGTGGCAAGTAGCAAGTAGCACGCGTCTAGCATCTTACTTAAAATGTAACCAATGAAAACGAATGATTCAGCGCACACCAAAATGGCAGTGACGTCATTCGATCTAATCATTCGTTTACATTGGTTACATTTGATGTAACATGCTAGACGCGTGCTACTTGTTACTTGCCACGTGTCACGCCACTTTGGTGGGCGCTCTCCCTTAATTTACTAAAGGATGCATTCTAAGAGCTTACCCTATGGCGTCTTGTTTCTAACCCAGTATTATCGAGGAAATGGATGGCCTCGATGGTTACGTGTTTATGGAGCCGATGTTCGTGATTACCTGCCATCTTCTTAATAATTTTATTTACATCTTCCATCTCAAGGTCCTTGTGGAAGTCGACATTTCTGATGTACCAAGGAGCATCAACGATCTTCCTTAGTACTTTATTCTCTTGTATAACAGTTGTTTATTATGTGTGGACAAAACTGAATTTCTTCCCATCAGCCAATACATTTTCTTGTAACGGATACCTAGTTCTTCCCTTTTCTTTTTGATATGGGTTTTCCAGCGAAGCTTTGCATCAAGTGTGATACCCAAGTATTTTGCAGTAGATGCGTGCGGTATTTGGGCATCATTTATCCTAATTGGAATGTTTTGGATTTTTTTGTTTGTAAAATTAACGTGAATTGGTTTAGACTCGTTTAGTTTGATTTTCCATTTTTTTGTTCACTTATGGATTTTATTTATTGACAACTGTAGTTTTTCTGCCGTTTCTTCACTGGTATCACCTACTGCTAGAATGGCAGTATCATCTGCAAATGTGGCTGTAACATCATTTTCTAATTCAGATATGTCGCATGTGTATAACAGGCAGAAGACCGGACCTAATACACTTCCTTGAGGGACTCCTGCTTTAATTTCTTTTAAATCTGCGTAAACGTCTTCTTGTTTGATTATGAAGTATCTATCAGATATGTATGACTGATATGTATTCTCTTCTATTATCGGTTTCATTCTTTTTAGCAAGAGTTTCTTGAACAGCTTTGACATCATTAGTAAGAGTGATATTGACTTGTAAGAAGAGACTGGCTTTGTGAGGCAGGTTTTTCAGTAATTCTCCAGTAATTAGATCGTATTCTGGGGCTTTCTTCAGATTTATGTTTTCTTTTATTTCATCAGCTACTTCTGTTGGAGATGTTGGTCTGATTGTCTCTTCTATCTGATAAGACTCAATCCATATTTGATTATTAATTTTTTTTTCATGTGGTTTGAATGTATTTTCTAAATATGTGGCAAATCTCTCTGACTTTTGCTTATTGCTCCTGGCCCAACTACCATCTTCCAGTTTAATGGATGGAGAATGGCAAATAGAAAAAAAAAATGGAATAACCACATAAGCCGAATGGAGGAGACCCGTGTCATCAAAATAGCAAGAGAAAACTCACCAATTGGCAGAAGAGAAAAAAGAAGAAGATTATTGATGTTATCTTATCAACGTCAACCTTTGATTCCACGTTGACTAAGTCTTTTGTTAGAAAACAGTTCGATTTTTCTATGAACCAAATTTATTCAACGCGCAGTCAAACCCAGAATATCACAGAAATCATTGTGAGTGAAGATTGATACTCCGAAATAAGTCCAAATGACTTTAAAGATGCAGTCAAATTCGACAGGTGTAATTCGGAACACTGAAAACTTTGTTTTCAAACTCCACAAAATTTATTTTAACTCTTATCACTACAGCTGTTTTGGCTGATTGCCTTTCTCAAGTGATGTATTTTTGGTTTGTGTTTACACTTTATAGTCTCTAATAAAATAATTGAAATGAGGTTGAATGCTCGAATAAATGAACTTTGAAAAATAAGGCTATTATCGAGCACAAGTTAATTAAATCTAGCCCAAGTACTTTCGCTCCTGAAGATGCTATTTTAAGCGAAAGTACTTGGGCTAGATTTAATTAACTTGTGCTCGATAATAGCCTTATTTTTCAAAGTTCTAATAAAATAGGTTGAGGAGGGGAGAACTGTTTGTCTCAAGTTGGTTATTCAGAATTATATCTGTGTTTTTTAATTTGTTGATTTCCATAGATTCTAACAATAATTCTAACTGACTATTTTTGATATTAATTTTTACAATTATGATATGAATCCTAGTTATAGATTTTATGTATGCAGATATATTTCCGTCTACATTTGCATACAGATTCTTACTCACATCAACCCACCACACAAGTTCAAATATCGTTTCCTTACTACTCAACTTGTTGTAAAAAAATCTTAAAAAGTGTTTCATGCGTTTGATCTGTCTATCGGCCCACACGAGTCATTTTCGTCATAATGCAGATATATACGGTCATTAGGAAGTGATTC